ACCTGAAAAGCCGGGGCTCACGGATGTGCTCAGGCCCCAGAGCCACACCCTGCATGTACTCATAGCACAGCCCGTTCTGGAAGGTGCAGTAGAGTTTGGGGGCACAGCCATGTGCTCGCAGCAGCTGGAAGTTTCTGACTTCATTCTCCCGGTCCACCAGCAGCTCCGTCCGCTCCCCATAGACCCGGACCAGCACACAGTCCTGCATGTCCTCCTCCACGTAGCAGGCCACCAGCTTGTTGGTGATGCCATCCGTGAAGCGCTGGCATGGGGAGAGGGCAGTGCGTGGGTGGGGGTGGGACAGGGTCCCTCTGGTCTCTCCCCAAGGCTCTGTAGCTCCTGCAGGAGGTGCTCATTTGAATGCTGAGCACAACCACCCCAAGCCCCCAGTGCTTTAGCCAAGTCACTCATGCTCCACTCTGTCCCCAACCTTTGGGGTCTCCAGTCTCTATAGAGTTCAAGAAAAAAAAAATGTAGCTTGGGTTCAGCTTCCACACACTCCTGGGTCTGCCTCTAGTGAATGGGATTTGGCAGTGGAAAAATTTCCACACTACTTGGGAGGCAAAGGCCCCCTCCCGCTCCTTACCCTCCATCCCAGCACCAAAAGAAACCCCATGGACCAGAATGTGGCAGGGGAGGGCTGGGAGTTGTCCAGAACAGAACATCCTGACCAGCTGCCTCTCACCTTGTGCCAGGCAGTGGGGTCTGCTCTACCTCGTGCCCCATCCAGTGGCAGAGGTACAAGGAGGGCACTAAGGTTGGCACCCATCCCAGGACTTTAGTGGTCAGAGGTCCTGACCGGAAAAGGCAGGAGACAACTGAGCTGTGAGCAAGGTTCTCTGGACAGCAGGGTGATAAGGAGAAAGGAATCATGGATTTATGGGGCACAATGGGACAGAGCTGGGAGGGCCTTAGAGGTCATCTGAACCAATTCTAGGTAGGGAAACTGAGGCAGGAGAGGGGAGGGCAGATGGCATGTTATGTCAGTGCTGGAATTAACCTCAGGCCTGCTTGATGCTTTGCCAGTCTTACACCAAACTGGACCTTTTATTTTGAAAATGCTACTCCCTCCCCAGGGCTGGGGGGGGTCTGTCAGCCTCCACACTTCGTTTAGAACCTCTCCACAACTTTGCCCCCACCCCACCCCAGAATGCCCACTGCATGGAGCCGCTGTGAGAGTGGGTTCAGTGGATGGCTCTGTCCACAGATGTGTCCCGGGACCTGTGGCCAGCTGGCGCTGGGGAAGATGGCCTGTGTTGGGGGGTGCTGGGCCTGAGCCTGCAGCTATGGTGAGGGGCTGGGTGCTAGCTGGAATTCCACAGGGTGGCTCCAGGGACTCATAGAGGCAGCTCAGAGCCTGTAGGATTTGCCCCCACCATGGGGTGGGGCAGAAATGTATGCGTGCGTTGGGGGGGGTCTCTTAAAAGTTCACGCCTCCTCAGGTTTCAGAGCTGGCTGTATACGCGCTTCTGGGCAGCAAGGGGCACCAGCACCCAGCGCCAGGGGGTGCGGCTCGCAAACGACATTGGGCGGGTGGCCACCCAGCGTGCCCAAGAGCCCCACGAGGAGGGGGGCGTGTGCAGGGCCGAGGGAGGTGTAAGCCTAGTTTTGCTTAGGGACGAAACAGATCCATACACAAACCACGTTCCAAACCTTTCTTGCGCAGCAGCCGTGCACCCCTGGGACCGACACCCCGGAAGGATGGGAGGACTGGGTCCCCGCATCCTCGTGGCAGCCCCGGCAGGGCCCCATCCTCGGCCCCGAGCCCACTCCACTACCTTGGTCCGAACTTGCTCAGGCTTCCAATGCGGCCGCAGCTCCTGGATGAGGCGCAGGGCCCCGGGAAGGATGTCGTCCGGGTCCACGGAAATGCCGAAGTACGCGACGGCGGCGGCCCTCGGGGGGCCCGGCGGCTCCCGGCCGCCGGCGCTGGCCGCCGCCTTCTCCTCCATGCCCCATGAGCACTGCGGGCAAGGCGTGTGCCTCCTCAGGTGAAAGGACGCGCGCGGCGGAGGGGCCGAAGGGGGCACAGCCATTCCCAGCAGCCCCACCCCCTCGGAGCCGCGGCCGACGCTAGCCCCGGCGGGGGGGCCCGGCGAGGGAGTGGGAGGGGTAGAGGAGGGGCCAGGGGAAGTCCATGACTCAGGCGCGAGCTGCCCGCTTCGATCGCCCGCTCGCGGCCCGCCGCCCACCGCCGACCCCGGAGCGCCGCGGCCCGCCGCGATTGTGACATCACGGGCGGCGGCCCGCGGGAACGCCCCCGGCCCGCCCCTGCCCCGGCCCGCGGGCCGCTGGGGAGCGCAGCCAGCCAACGCCGGCAGCTGCGGCCGCCGCTACCTGGAGCGCGGGGTGGGGGCGGGGGCGACGCCCCCTAGGGGGCCCCGGCGCCCGGTGACGCCGGGGGTGGGGCCTCCGCTGGCTCCGCCCCGCCCGGGTCCCCGCCGAGGCTCGCTTCCCGGCCTCCGACGCAGGGAGACTCCTGCTCTCTCCCGGTAGCCTGGGGGAGGAGGCTGGGGAGGGCTCGTTCTGCGCCCCCACCTCATCCTGGAATGGAGAGATCCGCTGCTCCCGCGACGTCAGCTTGGGCTCGCCCCTCTGTGCCCCTGCTCCCTGCCCCCACCCTGTCCCCGGACCCCAGGAAATGACTCTGCAGGGGCGACCCCTGCTGCATCTCAAAGGTGCTTCCCTGCAGAGAGCCCCCTCAGGCAACCTCCCATCCCCAACAGAAACACACTCCGTGGAGAGGGGACATTGGGTGATGGCGTTGGGATGTGTGCCAGTCCAGCAGACTGTGCTGTCCCCTGGCAGGCCACTGAGCAGCCAGGACGTTGGAGTGTTTGGGCACATCCTGGGCAGGAGTTGGGGCAAGACTGAGTTAAAGCCTCCCTCCCATCCTGAGCGTGTGAATGGGGCTGGGTAGTTAGGCCAGTGGGTATCCCTGAGCCCAGTGCTTTGCTGGGCATTCGGGGTGTGAAGTGGACAGACCCTGCCCACGTCCCGGGAGGAGAACTAAAGGCCTGGCGCAGCTACAAGGCCAAAGCAAGGCGTGGTGTTGGCTGGGGGTGGGAAGGAAGGGGAAGGGGTGACAAGGTGTCTGGGGAAGGGTTGCTGTGGGGAGGAGCCTGGAGAGAGGCCAGGCCGGCTCCAAGTCCCTCTACTAGCCAGACTCTCCTTTGGTCATTCTCTGCCACCTCCTGAGCAGGGCTCTGTTGGCTGCCGGCCCTATTTGCTATAGTGAGGCCTCAGGGATCTCACTAGTCACCATCCCTCACTGCCCCACCCAGAAAAGCACCTTCAGAGAAGGGGCCCTTTGCTATTTCCCCAGTTACCTCTTTGGTCTATCCCGGCACCTCTCAGCCACAAGGCTCCTATGCTTACTGCTGTCCAGAATCCAGCTCTGCCTAACACAACTTCTGCAATGATAGAAATGTTCTATATCTGTGCTGTCCAGTGCAGTGACCAGTAGCCGCATTGATTTTATTCGATTTTAATTATTTTTAATTTTAGTGTAAATAGCCACATGCGACTGCCATATTGGACAGTGAAGGAGATATGGGGTCGTGCCTGCCTTCTGAAGGTCATGGAGCCCCGGGATGGAGCTAGAAAACACCCTGGCCTCCAACACTTCCTTTGCAGTGAGAAAGCACAGCTACACAGGGCAAGAGAACATGGAGAATCAGTGGGAGTCCAGGGTCCTGACGCCCAGGGGTCGTTGGCTCTGCACAGGGACTCTTGCAGGGACTCTAGAGGTACTGAGGGCCTGGTTGGGCCATTCAGTGCCTCACGATTTTCTGTCAAAAGAGAGGTGAGCAACTGTGGTGAAGAGAGATGCCTTCCGTGGCTCCAGGTGGTTGCTGATTTCTCATTTCCCGAGTTACACATGCCCCCAGACAGCCCAGTAATAAGGGTGAGAAAAGAGACTTCAGCCTGAGGAGTCTGGGTGGATGGGATGGAGGATAGTAGTGTGTGTGTGCGCCTGTGTGCTTGTGCACGTGGCCCTGAACCAGGGTGTGTGAAGCACTGTACTTGTGACAGTACCCACTGCTTGTGATAAAGTGGAAAGCCCCCAGGACCCGGTTCAGACGGACTGGGTTCCAGTCTTGATTCTTCACTATCTTTCAGTATTCTTTACAACTTGATTCTTTTTTTTTTTTTTTTTTTTTTTAGGCAGAGTCTTGCGCTGTCACCAGGCACCAGGCTGGAGTGCAGTGGCGCGATCTTGGCTCACTGCAACCTCTGCCTCCCAGGTTCAAGCAATTCTCCTGCCTCAGCCTCCAAAGTAGCTGGGACTACAGGCACACGCCACCACGCCCAGCTAATTTTTGTATTTTTATTAGAGACGGGGTTTCACCATGTTGGCCAGGATGGTCTCCATCTCTTGACCTTGTAATCCGCCTGCCTCGGCCTCCCAAAGTGCTGGGATTACAGGCGTGAGCCACCACGCCCAGCCACTACTTGATTCTTGACTGAGTAATCTTGGGCAAGGCCTTCCATTCTCTGGGCCTCAGTTTCCCCACCTGTAAAGTGGAAGTATTGCCCGGATCTCTGGTGTTCTATGGTTTTAGGTGGTAGTGCCTTAGACTGCCTGTGTAAATGGCTACATGGGGCAGGGGGAGGGGCAGCAAGGAGAGTGGAGGGGAGTTTTGCAGGGACAAGAGGTAGGGCTGACTAGCTCCGGAGAGCAGAGTCTGAACTCAGAGCTGGCTTCTGTGAGCTGGGAGAACTTTCTGACCTACGGTCTACTGCCACAGCAGTAGCCTTGGTCCCTGAGGGACTAAAGGGGGCTTGGTGCTGGCTCTCTTCAGGCTTCCCACCCGAGGTTGTGTAAACAGCTCCACCTGAGTCCTGTTGATGGCCGATGGATGGCATCATCCCTGCACACAGGAACCTGTGGACAGCGCGAATGTGTACCTCGTCCGTGTCACTTTTCTGTCCGTAAGTGATCACGCAGCCCCTCCCTCCATCCTAAACCCTAGTGAACCCAGATGCAACAGGCTGTGAACATGAAGTCTTTATTCTGTTTGTCTTCAAAGCAGGGAAGGGCTGGTGCAGGGGTCAGGGCACGCCTCCAGCAGGAGCTCCATACCGGGTGCCTCCAGGTGACAGCATAAGCCCAGGCAGAGGGGCATCCCAGAGAGTGTTCCAGCTCTGGGCCGGGGCTGAAGGCAGGGCCTGCCTGGGCAGCAGAGGGCCTCAGCGGGCCAAGGCGAAGCCAATGCGATTATTACGACGATCAAACTCTGTGTAGAACTTTCGGATAAAGGTGGCGCCCAGGGCCCAGGTGGGTCCAGTGGGTGGTGGGATATCCATGGCGTGGATGGCCAGTGTGCACAGCTTTTTACTACTGTAGGATTCCTGCAGGAAGGAGGAGAGTTTTTCCTTACCCAGCACCTGAACATTCTCCTGTCACCTTGCCTGACCCCAGCAGCTGTCTTCAGTCACATCGCCCCTTCTCGCCCCCTCTCCCCGAGCCACACGGAGCCTCCCTCACTTCTTGGCCGTTTTGCTCCATCGTGGACTGTACCACTCCTGCATTTAGGTCCTTTGCTAGATGCCAGGCAAACAATGCATCAGGCACCATACTTCCTATAGGAGGCCACAGTTCGCCTTAGCTTCTGAACCTAGACAAGCTCTTCAACTTCTCTAAGCCTATTGATGACGAAAAGAGGATCTGAATGTAGGAGCCTAAGATTACCGGGAGCATTTGATGAGAAAATGGAGATGAGGGAACAGGCCCAGTGATTCCCAAACATGGCCACACATTGGAATCACCCGGGGAGACCAAGCCCCAGGTACCACTCCTAGAGGTTCTGATTTAATAGGTAGGGGATGTGGCCCCGGTACCAGGTTTTTTCAGAGCTCTCCAGGTGACATGCACAGCCAAGTTTGCGAACTATGGTTCTAACATGATCCGAGCGTTGTAATCTTTCCTCCTTTGGGGGTCTCTGTCCAGCCTTCCTCCCTGCCACTGAGGGGGCCCTCTCGAACCTCACCTGAAATACATAGTCCGCGCTGGTGAGCGTGTATTCTTTGCCTCCCAGGTGGAAAGAGATGTCGGGGAGTGTAGGGCCCTCGTTACACTTCACGACATACTGTGGTGGGGGGCAAAGGGAGCCTTCTTGAGTGCGGAAGGCATCTCAGCAGACAAGGGGTCCTGTACTGGCGGCCTGGACTCTCTGCTGGAGAGGGCTGGGCACAGTGCCCCTCTCCATGGGTGACGGGCCACACGTGTGGAGAGTGTGAGGCGAACAAGCGAAGGCCTGAGATGGCCTCATTTGGGACCTCATGCTGCCTGGGGGATTTGTGAGCGAAGACCAGGTGGCACTCCCCCCACCCGCAGCACCTTCCCTCTTTGGCTTCTTACATCAAACAGCCTCTTCTTGGCCCCCAAGGCCTCCATGAGCTTCTCTATGGAGCTGGTAGAGCCTGAGATGTAGGATGCACCGGTGTCCACCAGTGCCAGGCAGCCGTCCTCACAGAGCAAGGTGGATGACCCCACAGACACCCTGGGGGAGGCCACAGTCGGTCAGACACACAGAAGGCCGATGGGGCACCTCCAGGCTGCATGTCCTTCCTGAGTGCGGGTGGATGGGTGGAGACCGCGCTGGTGGCCCATTGAGGCAGTGAGTGGAGGGGGGAAGGTACTGTCACCCTCCACTGCTTCCCAGGTCCCTCCCTTCTCTGTTCCCCAGGCTGGACAGAGCAGGCAGAGAGCAAATGGTGGCTGTGCTTAAGAAGTGGCTGCATTGGAAAGAGGGCAGGTTGCCCCTTCCCCACCCTCCCCAACCCCAGTGACAACAGCAATTTTTGGAGCCTGGGGAGTGTTGAGGATTTCTGACCCCTTCATTGGAATCTGCCAGAGGCCAGTCCTGATGAGGTTGATATAGTGGAAATTCCCTTCATAATGCTGTGGGTCGCTGCCTCCCAGCACAATCTGTCCTCCCAGCGATTGGGAATTCCTAAAGGAAAGATCAGAAGCTCTTGGAAACCCATAACCTTCAGGACCCAGGGACTCAGGCAATCGAGGAAAGTTGGGCAAGGGTGCAGGGCAGAACAGAAGGCTCTAGGGCAGTGGCATGTGGGACAGCCAGCCAGCTCGGACTGCTGCTGGGGAGCACGCAGGCCCTACTGCTTCCCTGCCTTTCTTGTACCTCTCCAAACCCAACCAGAGGGTGTTCCAGGGTAGTCCAGCTGTGCCCCAAAAAGCGTCCCCAGAGAGGTCACAGAAAAGGAGCAGGTCCAAGGACAGCGAGTGGATTGAGAAAGACACAAATGGACGCCCCTCACTTGGGGTTGGGTTGCTGCTGATTGAGCAGTGCTTGGGAGGGGATCCTGGGGTGGCTGTTGGGTGTGGGGTGGGTGGGGGGTATGGAGAGAGCTGGAGGAGGGACAGAGAACTTCGGGATCTAGCGGAGGCTGGGCTTGCTGATGCGAGTTGTGGGCCGGTGGTATGTGTGATTCTAGGTCAGGTGCTCAGGGAATACTGGAAGGTCACAGCCATGTGGGAGTCCTTTCTCCTTACTCGGAATCTCTGCAGAGAAAGAGAGACAGCAGAAAGGAAGCTTCATTTTACGCAAGCCTCATCAGCCCTGCTGTCTGGCAGGGTGGGTGTTAGGTACTCTTTTCGCTCTTCAGGCAATGGAGTCACCAAGAGGTGAAGTCTCCTGCCTGAAGTTACCGAGGCCGTGAGTGAACAAGTGTGGCACTGGAGCCAGGCTCCTGGTGCCCAGTCTGGAGCTGATTCCCCTCGCCTTCCTTTCCTCCACGTTGCACTTGGCTCAGGGACTACCGTAGGCCTATTCTCCAGGGCATACATGTGTGTGTGACGTGTTTTTCCAGAATTCATACTAGAATTCACACATGCACAATGTGTGCATGGGTGTGTAGGTGTCCATATGTTATTTTGTGCAACTGCAGACTGCTTGTGTTTCTACAAATTCGGAATGGATGCGTATGTGCCAGCACAAATTCCCTCCTGCTCCTCTACCAACACTTCAGGATCGCTCCAGATGTTCCCTCCTTCCCACCCCAAGTTAAAGGAAGAGGCCGGCCCTCTCCTCCGAAAGCCTGGCTTCTTCCTGTCTGCTGGATCCTCCTCTCCTCCATGGCCTCCAAGTTCCGATGCCCCCACTTAGCGTCTCCTCTTTCCACATTTTTAATCTCTTTCTTTCCATTGGCTTCTTCCTCCACCTCCGGGCATCACTCGAGCATCCTCTAGCATTTTAAAACACCCACCCTTCCTCTACTGCTCTGGATCCCACCCCACACACCACCCCCATTCCCTTCCCAGTTGAATTTCCCAGGGCAGCCTGCATCTCATGACCTCCACTTCCTGACACCCACGTCTGCCTCTTAACTGCTTGTCATCTGGCCTTGTCCCCACCTCCTCTAAAACGCTCTTCTGAAGACCACCCCTGACTGCAGAGCCACCACTTGGCTTTTTCTCAAGGCCTCCCTTTCTATCACCAAATCAGAGACTCCTCTCCATTCACTCTGAGATGTCCCTGGACTCCGACCCTCTCCCCTATTCTTTTTTTTTTCTTTTTTGAGATGGAGTCTCACTCCGTTGCCCAGGCTGCAGCACAGTGGTGTGATCTCGGCTCACTGCAACCTCCGCCTCCCCTCAAGCTATTCTCCTGCCTCAGCCTCCTGAGTAGCTGGGACTACAGATGTATGCGATCACACTTGGCTAATTTTTGTATTTTCAATAGAGACGGGGCTTCACCATATTGGCCAGACTGGTCTCAAACTCCTGACCTTGTGACCCGCCCACCTCGGCCTCCCAAAGTGCTGGGATTACAGGAGTGAGCCTCTGAGCCTGACCTCCTCTTCTCTATTCTTTTTGCCACTGGTCTTGTGTTCTCACCCTTGTGATTTTTTTTTTTTTTTTTTGAGACTGGAACTCACTCTGTTGCCTTAGCTGGAGTGCAGTGGCACAATCACTGCTCACTGCAGCCTTAACTCATGGGCTCAAGAGATCCTCTTGCCTTGGCCCCCCCCAAAGTGCTGGGATTCAGTCGTGAGCCACTGCTCCCAGCCCCTCTTATCTCCAACCCATGCCATCTTCCTAAGCCCAGCAGTTTGGAGTAAAGCCCAACCCTCTGCAAGGGCTGACAATAGCTTCCCCCAGGCTGGCTGAGCTGCATATAAGCTCAGCCTAGAACTGAAAAGCGTCCGTGGTTTTCAGCACCACCCTCGCTGCCTGCCTGTGACACTCATTACGCTGGAATATGTCTTGTCTTCCCTGTTAGCCTGTAAGCGCTATGTGGGTAGAGGAGTACGGATTCTGCCTTGATCAGTATGTTCACTGCTGTACCCCCAGAGCCCACCACAGTGCTTGGCACACAGCATTTACTGAACTGATGTGTGAGCAAACAAACAAATGAGGGATCTAATGGATGACCGAAGTTGGCTGTCTCTGTGTGGGAGGAGCCACGGCCCTCACAGGCAGCGCTCCAGGTCACAGAAACACACCTTATTTTCCATCACCCCCACCTGGCATCTCCTCTTGCTCCAGAGTGGCACTGTCTATTAGAATGTCCTGCCATGCTGGGAATGTTCTCTGTCCTCACTGTCCAATTCGTAGTTACTAGCCACCACGGCTGCCGAGCATTTGACATGTGGCTAGGGCAACTAAGAGCCACCTGTTGAATGCTTAATTCATGCTTAACTGTACCTAATTAATTTAAATTTCAGTCGTGGCTTCTATATTTGCGAATGCAGCTCTAGATACAGATTAGCTGTCACCTACTTGCAAACAATTCTGGCCCAGACTCTCTTTCCACTCCCCAGCTCTTCTCCCCTCCCCTCCCCTCCCCCACCTTAGCCCCTGGTGTCCCTGGAGTCCCTGGGGTCCTGGTCCCCACCTGTTGTAGTAGAAAGAGAAGACGTCCTCTTTTAGCACCCCTTGGGAGATGATGTTGTCGAAGAGAGGGGTGACCCTGCCAATGGCCTGTTCAATGAAGCCCATGCCCACAACCCCATCGAACTCAGCCAGCATGAAGGGTAAGGCGGGCATCTCCGTGACCTCTCCAAATGTCTGCGTCACCATGATTCCACCCACCTGTGGGAGGAAGGACCAGAGGAGACCAAGCCCACTGCCCACTCCTTGGCCGGAGTCTGGTCTGGGCTTCTACACTAGGGATCCCAGGGGCACACATGCTCCAGGGTACAGAAATCAAGGTAAGAGTATTTCCTAGACCCTGCACGCACACACTCTGTGCCAATACACATCTCTGCTGTGGAGCCCAGAGAGAGCTGGAGTTGACCAGGGATTGGACAGCAGAGGTTGAGAGGGTGGTCCTGCCAAACAGCAAAAGAAAAGCTGCCTAAGCTCCCCTCCCGCTCCGCAGTGGTCTGGCTTTCATGCCCGGCCCGACTGGGTCTTGGCCTTCTCCCTTATCTTGGGCGAAGAGTTTCTCCAGCACAACCAAGCTTGCCCTTTTTCCTCCTTTATACCTGAGTTCACAGAAAAAGGGAGGGAGGCAGGAATCACCCGGATTTCCTCTCAGGTTCCATGTGTACCCCCCCGCAAGCGATGGAACAAGGGCTGAGAAACTCCAGAATGAAGAAAGGGTCAGACATGGGCCAAATGAAAAAGAAAAGCAGGCCTTGACCCAATTCCCAAGGTCAACCTCAATCGTGACCTTAAAACCTATGCCTGACCCCAAAACTCACCCTGCCCCTGCCCCTGGATTTCAGTGTAAGGTGTAGCTAAGAGCCCAGTCAGAGCTGGTGAACTTGGACAAGTGACTTGACTACAGCCGTGGGGCTCAGGACGAGCCCTGCGTTAGATAAAGTTAAGTCAGGTGCAAAAGCCTCCGTAAGTCACCCAACGGTGAGCCCGTAGCCCAGGCTTGCTCCCCCATAGGTACTGCTATTTTGCAGCTCCAGTCAGGTGCGGCAGAGCAGGGTGTTCCTCAGCTCCCCAAGCTTCAGGTGGGCCGCAGTGCACCTCCCCCCAGGTGTGGGCCCTGGAGGGTCAGGAGAGGCCTGGGAACAGAAGGGGTGGGGGGCAGATGACCTAGGGTGGCCTCACTTACAGTGATGACGTCCTGGCTCAGAAAGCCACTGACCGTTCCTGTTGAATAGCGGAGGGTGAGTTCCGTCCCGTTGTGCTTATAGCTGGAGGAATCCGAAGCATCGAAGAGCTTGTGATACGCTGGCAGGGGAACACAGGCTCGGGTTTGTCCAACAGTGGCCCAGACAGGGGGACTCAGAGGCGGGGTGCATTGTGGGTATGGCTGGTGTGGCTTAGGACTTAGATTAGATGCAGGGATGAGTGGCCCTAGGGTCAGTGGGCTTGGACTACGTGCTTCATCAGTCAAGGACTGGCTTTCTTGGGCCACCCCTCATGTGCCCAAACCTCGAGAATTTTGTCCTAAATTGAAGGAATTTAAAGTAATCACTACACTGATAGCACCAGAGAAGATGCTGCCACAGAGTAAGTGCACAATAAGAGGTTGTTGATTAAGACTAGGGACGGAATCTGGGCGTGGTGGCTCAGGCCTGTAATCCCAGCACTTTGGGAGGCTGAGGTGGGTGGGTCACCTGAAGTCAGGAGTTCGAGACCAGCCTGGCTAACATGGTGAAACCCTGTCTCTACCAAAAATACCAAAAAATTAACTGGGTATAGTGGGAGGAGCCTGTAATCCCAACTACTCAGGAGGTCGAGGCAGGAGAATCGTTTGAACCCAGGAGATGGAGGTTGCAGTGAGCCGAGATCACACCGTTGCACTCCAGCCTGGGCAACAAG